GCGTAGGCAAGTCTAAACCGTAACGGTAGGGGGTGACTTGGCAGGGACCACATCCTGAAGCATTCCCCTTTCGACATTTGCACCTTTATTCCTTTTCTTCTTGCAACCCATTTTAACCGAGTCACTCCTTGCCTATACTCTTTAAGTTAGTTTAATCATTTCTGCTAGCTTCACATTCATTTTTCGTTTCTCGGTTCTTTTGCAACCTTCGACGACTTCATTTCGAATCAAAAGGCCTAAGTTTCCGTTTCGAGGACCCCAACCAACATCGAATAATTTCCAGTTACGATCGCTATCTATCAATTTCCCCCCCTGAAAAAGACAGCCAACATGTTCACTTCTAAATTTGTCTTCTTTGCTGCTCTGATGTTTGGTATTCACCGCTGTCATTGCCGTGCCGCCTGGATGTCTTATCGGAGCTATTAAGTGCGTAGTGAAGGAAAAACCTCCCGAAAATTCTCCACAAAAAAAAGAAGAAGGCGCCCGAAGGAAAAGACCTTACTTTCAGAGAACGAGAGAGTGGCAAATCCAGAGTTGGAACTCGTAGCTAATGACTCGCTGTAATATAGCACCCAAAAGGACCCCGGCAACCTCAAGGCTGTTTGCAGCACCGAGGATGTCCAGCGCGAAATCGTGAAAATGTGTCCAGAAGACACCGTCAAGGCTGCTCTGAAATCGTTCTCTGACTCGTGCGCCGAAGCTGGTCAGAAAGTCTGTACGTTGCTGCTCACCCTCACTTATTTCTACACTTCTTTACCGAACAGGTATTCTTAACCGTATGGAGCACGAGTGAGCGCTAAGCGCTAACAAACGGTCCTGTATTGCTATAGCACTCATCGACATCAACAAGCCAACCGGTACCTCTGGCGCATCAAATGGTGACGATAGCGGCAGCAATCCCACTTCCACTTCTTCGGGTTCCCATTCCACTGGTACATCCGCCGGATACGTACACAATATTGACTCCTTTACCGTCGCAGCCGTTGTCGCCCTCGTTGGACTGGTCTCGAGTGTGTAGAAAGAGATGGATTAACACATTAAGCAGGCGCACACTCCGGTCTTTCCGCATGCGTATATCAGATAATCAGATGACTATTTTTGTGGGTTCTCGTCTTGCGCTCTCTTAAGCATGGAGGGGAAAGGCTAAAAGACCTTTTTTGGTTGTTGTGTTTGTGTTTTTATAGACGGGCTCAATGTCGCTTTTTTCCCCTTTATCTTGCAATTCAAGATTCCATATTTTGTTCGTGTAGGGTTGCATGTTCGGGCATTGCAGATTATCCTATCTTCCGCGGCCATTTTGATACCACTTTGCCAAACCCGAGATATTTTTGCTGGCTTCTCTTGTATCCCCATCAATTTTTCAGGATGTGTATTCGAAGTCCATTGATGTCCATACAGTCCATATGTAGAATTAGATAAGAGTTGAAACCTGTGTCAGACAATCAAGGTCACCACCACCTGCTGTTAACTCTCCCCAGTCGCACCTGGCAAAGCACCTACTGCCCTCTGTTTTGCCACGTGATCGCTCTCGGTGCCCAATTAAGGAAAACCACGCCAACCTAAATCGCGTCTCCCTCCAAGCTTGGGAACGCGTCTTGCTTTCAAAGCAAATTCTTCCTTCTCCCCACCATCATCCTCTGCAACTTCTCCTTCAACCTCGTCCTCGTCCTCGTCCTCGTCCTCCTCCTCAATCCTCATACCCTATACTCGTTTCGCTTCTTATCTTCCTATTCTCCATTGTTTATATCATATCTGCCTTCCGCACCATCTGCTTTTTTGAAACAGATTCATCGCCTTTTCCCCTCCATCCTTCTCAAACAACTCAAAGTCACTAGGTATCTTGTACACAACTTTGAAACAATTCAATAGAGAACGGGCTTCAAGATGTTTGTTTATAAAAGAGGTGAGTTCGGCGATCTGCCTTCTCCCCCGCTTCCCCCCAATGTTGGGCTGTATTTTCTTGCAGATGTTTCCTTGTCGTCTCCATTGGTGTTCCTCTGACTGCGAACTGAGGGCTCGAACTGACATTCATACAAATATAGATGGACGTAAGGAACGGGTGCAGTTCGACAAGATCACAGCTCGCGTATCTAGGCTCTGCTATGGCCTGGATCCGGAGCATGTCGATGCTGCAGCTATCACCCAGAAGGTCATATCTGGGGTTTATCAAGGAGTAACGACCGTCGAACTCGACAACTTGGTAAGAACACTCCCAATCAATTACATTTATCCTGAGGAATCCCTTCTGACTGTGCTTTTCTCATATCTGTGTACAGGCAGCTGAGACTGCTGCGTATATGACCGTAACTCATCCAGATTATGCCACCCTTGCTGCCCGGATAGCTGTATCCAACCTCCACAAGCAAACGAAGAAACAGTTCTCTTCCGTGATAGATGACCTGTACCATTACCACAACCCGAAAAACCAACGACCTGCCCCGATGATATCGCAGACTACGTACGAAACAGTGATGCGTCATGCAGATGAATTTAATTCCGCTATTGTCTATGATCGTGACTTCAACTACCAATACTTTGGATTCAAGACTCTGGAGCGGTCTTACTTGCTTCGAATTAACGGCAAAGTTGCGGAACGCCCGCAACACATGATCATGCGTGTTGCTGTTGGCATCCACGGAGATGATGTAGAAAGAGTCATCGAAACATATAATCTCATGTCCCAGAAATTCTTCACACATGCTTCTCCAACCCTTTTCAATGCTGGTACCCCTCAGCCTCAGATGGCTTCTTGTTTCCTAATCGACATGAAGGAGGACAGTATTGAGGGTATTTATGACACTTTGAAGACTTGTGCTTTGATTTCAAAAACTGCTGGTGGTATTGGTCTCAACATTCACCGCATTCGTGGCACTGGCTCTTACATCGCTGGAACAAATGGGTCCTCAAATGGAATCGTTCCTATGCTCCGCGTTTTCAACAACACTGCCAGATATGTCGACCAGGGTGGCAACAAGCGGCCAGGAGCTTTCGCTATTTACCTAGAGCCATGGCACACCGATATCTTTGAGTTTTTGGATCTTCGTAAGAACCATGGTAAGGAAGAAGTCCGGGCTCGCGATCTCTTCCTTGCTCTCTGGACGCCTGATTTGTTTATGAAGCGTGTTGAGAAAAACGGCGAATGGACTCTGTTTTGCCCCAATGAAGCACCAGGGCTAGCTGATGTTTATGGCGACGAGTTTGAGGCACTTTACGAAAAGTATGTTTCAGTACAACCAGAACCAAGTCACCATACAAAAGTAACTGACCTGACTCCTGGTATATAGGTACGAAAAGGAAGGCAGAGGCAAGAAGACTGTAAAAGCCCAGAAACTCTGGTACGCCATTCTTGAAGCTCAAACAGAGACAGGAAACCCCTTTATGCTTTACAAGGACTCTTGCAACAGAAAGAGCAACCAAAAGAACCTGGGCACAATTCGAAGCTCTAATCTATGTACTGAAATCATCGAATATTGCTCACCAGATGAAGTTGCGGTTTGCAACTTGGCATCTATTGCGTTGCCCACTTTTGTTGATCCTATCCGGGGAGAGTATGACTTCGGCAAACTCCATGAAGTAACTCAGGTTGTTGTTCGCAATCTTAACAAAATCATTGATCGGAATTACTATCCAGTTGAGGAAGCGAAACGAAGCAACTTCCGCCATCGTCCCATTGCTTGTGGTGTACAGGGTCTTGCGGATGCTTTCCTTGCTCTGCGACTTCCATTTGATTCCCCTGAAGCAAAACAGTTGAATATTCAAATTTTTGAAACAATTTACCACGCAGGATTGACTGCATCCTGCGAGTTAGCTAAGGTTGATGGTCCATATTCCACATATGAAGGCTCCCCGGTGAA